AATCCTCCTCAAGGAGCAAGTCTCCGCTGCCACCTTCAGAAAGTCCCTTTTGCAGCGTTTTTGCCCAGCACAGACTCCAGGCACCAAGAGGAGGGAAAAACAAGGGCTGGGTCTGCAGTCACCAGGGCTGGGACACGAGGAGTGAGTCCACAGGAACCTCATGAGGTTCAACAAAGCCAAGCACAAGGTCCTACACCAGAGTCAGAGCAACTCCTGACATCCATCCAGGCTGGGGGATGAAGGGATTGAGAGCAGACCTGGCAAGGAGGACTTTGAGTCCCTTCCAGTACCCAAAGGGGCCCACAGGAAAGATGGGGAGAGACTCTTTATCAGGAATTGTAGTGATGGGACAAGGGATAATGGTTTTGAACTAAAAGAGAGTAGATTCAACTAGTTACAAGGAAGAAAATTTTTATGATGAGCGTGGTAAAACACTGGCACAGGTTGCCCAAAGAGGTGATGGATGTCCCATCCATGGAAACATTTAAGGTCTGGTTGGATGGAGCTTTGAGCAACCTGACCCAGTTGAAGATGTCCTTGCCCATTTGGACTAAATGACCTTTAAAAGTCCCCTCCAACCCAAACCACTCTGTGATTTCCTCACAGAGGCACAATCTTGTTATGATGCCATTTATTTAGGACAGCGTGTCCTCAACGAGGCTCTTGCAGTTTGTCCCCTGGAGATTTGTCCCTTTGGGCTGAGCTGGGGCTAAGCAAGGCTGCAACACTCTTTGGTGCACCCTGAAGAGATGCAGAGCCAGAAGAGCTGGAGAGCCTGAATCCTGCAATGTCTAGTTGTCGTGAGGACACTCACGACTGATTTAATAGCGTGAGACTCAAAGTGAACTGGTTTATTTTAAGCTCACTGAGACCAAGTTTGCCTGGCTAATGCATCCTGACTTTTAGATTGAAGACTTAAATATCATGAGACTTTGGACAGATTCTTTGGAGGACACACGGCTTGGGGGAGGAAACCGGATTCAAAAATAATACCTGGAATTGTTTCAACAGTGCTATATCTGATCTTACCAGGGCCAAGGGAGCAGCCAAAGTATGGCCATCTGTTTCCGCTCCCCCCCTGCCCTCCTGGCTCACTTCAAACCACCCCTTCCCCCCCCCAGCAGAAAAGGCATCGAGCATCCCGCAGAGGAAGGACAATTCAATAAACCCAAACCCAAAAAGGAACACTTCATTTTCGCAGAGGAAGCTGGAGTGCTGTGACTCACTCGGTGGCTTTTGAGGCTCTCCCCCACCTTCCAGCGCTGTCACTTAGAGGTTATTTTTTGTGATTGCCCTCTGACAGCCACGCAGCCCTCGTGCCTCTGTAGAACATTAGGGTGGTTAAAGGCATCTTTGGGGTTTCTGCCTGCTGAGCTGAGCACACTCACAAGTTGGGATGCACGGGAGCCATCGGGGATCGTGCACCTCCAGTCCCTCATCTCTGGGACAAAGCATATGGCAGACAGGCAGAGTTTTGGCTCCTCTTCTCCCTGCTCTTGACCCGCCAGGTCCCCTGCCAGGGACAGGCCTGGCCAGCCCTGTCCCTCCAGACGGGACACTGAGAGAGGGATCACGCTTGTCAGACTCAGTTGCTTCCCCCACTGCTCCTGGGAAATCTGTCCCACCTCCCATCCTGGCCACCCTTTACTGGTCTGGGTGAAAAACCCTTTAATGTTTTCTTATTGTGGTTTGGTCACACTTCTTTTGTTCAATTTGGCCACTGCTTAAGGAAGCCTCCAAAGAAAGCCTTGATAGGAGCATCATCTGTAGCCCTGGAGGTGAAGGTGACCACTGTGGCCAGGCTGGAGGCAGCTCAAGTGGCAGATATTCAGTGGAGATTCATCTTACACCAGCTCAAGGGCTTTGGCAGCCCCAGTGGCTGCTGCACACAGAGAAAGGAAGGTGGACAGCAGGAGCCAGGACAGCTCTGTGACAGACTCCTCTCAGACAGAGCCGCTCTGAGCAGCAAGGCGGGTTTATCAGGGAGTTTTCTGCTGCCACCCCAAGTCAATTCCCCACCTGAGCCCACCAAGACACAGCACTGCTGCACCCTCCTTCAGACAAGTGGTGAAACAGGACCTCTGGGATGGTCTTTTCAGGACTGCCCTATTAAGCCATCTGTATGGCCACATTGGCAGTAGGACCATACTGCAGCACAATATGTTGCCTCAGCACAGAAAACACACTCACAGAGCCCCCAGCACTTCAGCTGAGGGGGAATTTTCTGCCTTTTCCATCAGCCACCGCTGTAAAGCTGCGCTGAGAGGCAGCTCCATCCCCCAGCAGGAAGCTGTGTCTCATTAGCAGAGGTAAACAATTCCTCTGAACGTGACGAGTCAGGATAGCATATTTAATGTGTCACTATCTCAGGGTTTCTTAATCCCTACTCCAGAACAGTGTGTTGAGGCAGGAGAGAACCCCCCAGTGCGGCTCAGAGCTCCACCACACCCCAGTTGGCATCTTCCCCTCTTTGTGGGAGATAGTGGGGAGCACCTGGGCAGGTGCCCTCACCCTTCAACCTCACCCACCCAAGCAAGCCTGAGCACTCCCATTCATTTGCCTTGCTCAGTTGTCACAGCTGCAAATAAGACAACGATAAAACCTATCCAGCCACTTGCCTTTAAAACACCAGCCAGCACATCTGTTTAGGACCAGAATCACAGAATCAACTTTCACGCTTCGGGGTGGGCACAAAAGCCACACGTTGCTCGAGTTCAGGCTGTAACAGGAGGAACAAACCCCAGCACAGCACTGGCAGCTTTACCATCAGGCAGGTGCCGTGTCAGAGCAAGGCGGTGCTGCAAACAGTTCGAGTGTTGACCTGTTTTCTGATCTGCTTTCCCTGGCAGCCTCGTGCACACACACACACACACACACCCACGACGTGTGCTGTGTTTACAGGAGTCCCCTTGTCTCCCCAAGGCTGTCTCTGTCTCCCCTGCAGACGATCCCGGTGCTCACGTGCAGATCAGTTCCCCTCTGTTTTGTTTTATCCCCCGTGCTGGCGGAGCAGCCTCCTGCCTTATTTACAGAGCGTTGCTCGCACGCTGCTCTGAGCACAGAATTATTTATGCCCCCCTGGGCTCTCCAGGGCTCCTGGGTGCCGTGGGCTCCGCTCTCTTTGCAAAGAGTCGCTCTTGTTCAGCTCATGGCTCTGAGCTGAGGGAGGCACCCAAGGCGCATTTTACAGGCATGGAATAGAGAAGCTCTAAGTAGTTCCCAAGACCTTTGTTTGCCCAGCTGGCAGTGGCAAAGCACTGATTTTCCAAAGCACCCTGTGTTACGCAGAGGTTTCCACGTTCAAAGCACAGCCCCCGAGCTCCACTTTGCACCCCTTTGTACGAGCCAGATCCCCTCCTCTGCTTTGCCTGGGGTACACACAAGGCACCCTAAAAGCAGGTCACAAGCATTCAGACTCCAGCAGTTTCCCAGGTCAAAGCAAGCCACGGTGCAGGGTCAGTCCCCATTCTGCCATGGACACAGGAGCAGCCTCTTCCCACGCCTGCAGCAGGGCTCTCCCAGCCCAGGGACACAACCAGCCTGCACAGATCCCAGCCCTGCACCTCATTTTTCAGAGCCCCCAGGTACCAGCACGAGCTCCCTGCACCCCAGCACAGCCCCAGCACTGCAGAAGGTCTCCAGGGCTGGGTAGGAACACACTGATCCCCACAAGCTGCACCTTCCCATGGCCCAACCACACACAAGGGACCCAAAAACCAAACCACAGCACCCGGCTCGGTCTTACCTTGTAAATCCACCGTGCTTGGGAGGGACAGACCTCACACCCCAGCAGGCTCCTCACCTCCAGCCAGAAGCTCTTTGCAGCTCCAGCTGCTTTATCACCACCTCCTCCTCTGCCAGGTGCCTCTGCTTCCCTGACAAGGGTCCCACTGCAGCAGAGCCTGCTGTCGTACCAATGCCTCTCCTTTTCCAACCCTTTGGATTTTGAGTCTGAGAGGGAGGTAAAGTGACAGCAAAGAGATGCTTCATATGCAAAAAAGATTTGCATTGTGTTGCAGAGTTGATCTGTGGTCTGTGCCCACTATAACACAGGCCTGCATTATCCCCAGGGAAGGTCTGACCCACGTGCTCGCTCCTGGAGGCAGAGGCTGCAGGGCAAGTAGTGTTGGGCTTTAACACACATATGGATGAGCAGTAAACCCATTGGCACAGCTAGCAACCCTGATGTCCACCTCCAAAACTTCAGCCTTCATGGCATGCCCTAGTGCAGCTCAGCACATGGATGTTTTGTGTGTCCCTGCAAAACATGCCAGCTGGGCTGTGCACTGTCACCTGTGGGCAAAGTGGGGTGGCTGTTCCTTTTCTCCCATTGCCAGGCCTGCAGGTGGTGGACATTTTCACCTGGATGGGATGAGCCATCCTTCCCTCCATGGTCCCTGCAGGCAGGAGAGGACCATGGCACCAGGAGCACAAATTTCTGGTCTCCCTGCTATTCCTCAGTCCTGTCCCAGCTTGGAGCTGGAGAAGTTTGGTTTCCCTCCTCTGGCCATGCTCAGTGGCACAGGGGGGATGGTGTGTCCCCAGGATTTTTGGCATCAGGAGCCATGAGAGGCAGGGCTGTGTCTGGGGGATTTTTAGCCATTCATTTCTTCCAGGGCAGAGCACAGCTTTCTGTAGGCTTGTAAATTGGCCACGCTGAACCGAAGTTTCCCAAACACCATCTCAGGGAAGGCGCTTTCTATGAAAATTGCCCCCGTGCCAAATTGAAAAGCCCTTTCCCAGAGGGCCTTTCAAAGGAAACAGCTCAGCCGTTCTTACAGTGGAGGCAAAGCCTCATCTTTCTGCCTCAAACTCATTCTCAGAGCTTCCTCCAGAGCCAGGCCGTGGCTCACTCTGGTTCAGCCCAGCAGTGAATGTTTGACACAAGCAGCCAGATCCAGGGCCTGGTAACGGTGTGAGCTTGGCTGTGATGCCCACACGATGCCCACACGATGCCCAGGCTTTGCCTCCCTCTCTGGTGACCGTTGTTGTCGTTCCAGGAGAACCCGTACCTGTGCAGCGACGAGTGCGACGCCTCCAACCCGGACCTGGCCCACCCGCCCAAGCTCATGTTTGACAGCGAGGACGAGGGGCTGGCCACGTACTGGCAGAGCGTGACGTGGCGCCGCTACCCAGAGCCACTGCTGGCCAACATCACCCTGTCCTGGAACAAGAGCATCGAGCTGACGGACGACATCGTGATCACCTTCGAGTACGGGCGCCCCACCATCATGATGCTGGAGAAGTCGCTGGACAACGGGAGGACTTGGCACCCGTACCAGTATTACGCAGATGACTGCATGGAGGCCTTCAGCATGCCAGCACGGAGGGTCCGCGACCTCTCCACCACCAGTGCCAACAGGGTCCTCTGCACGGAGGAGTATTCCCGCTGGGCGGGCTCCAAGAAAGAGAAGACCGTCCGCTTCGAGGTGAGGGACCGCTTTGCCATCTTTGCTGGCCCCGACCTCAAGAACATGGACAACTTGTACACCCGGCTGGAGAGCGCCAAAGGGCTCAAGGACTTCTTTACCGTGACTGACCTGCGGATGAGGCTGCTGAGACCCGCCCTGGGGGGCACCTATGTGCAGAGGGAGAACTTGTACAAGTACTTCTATGCCGTCTCCAACATCGAAGTCACTGGCAGGTAACGGCTGCTGTATTTCTTTGGGCGTCTCTTCTCTGAGGGATGAGAAGTTACTGCTAGTAAACTAAGCCATCAGTGTTTCTGCAGATGGTGTTTCTCCCTCTGACACCCTCTCTTCCCAGGCAGGGCAGCACTGGAAATAAAACAAATGTGTCCTTGCAGGGAACGGCCGGGGCACCTCCAAGGCTGTGTCTGATGAGAGGGGCTATGTCCTCCTGCAGCCGGTGCTGGGGGATTTGGGACATGGCTTAGATGGACAGTCGGGGTCTGAATTCCCTCCCAAAACCCTGTCCCCAGCTGTGCCAACACAGCCAAAAGTCTCAGGGGTGATGCTGATGCATCTGGGGGTGAGAAATGATGCTCATCCCACTAAACTCCAGCTCACTGCCAGTACAAGCAGGATGGGTCATCCTGAGTCGGTCCTCACCCCCCGAGCAGCCCTGGCTCTGGCAGAGGAATTTTGGGGTGAGGGTAAATCCCCAGACACATCTGGGGCAGGGGAAGCTGTGGGGGAGGGGAAGTGGGGGGTGTTTCTCCTGGGTTTTGTTTTTAATTTCTCTGTACGGTGCCATATGTTACGCTATGACATCAACCAAAAAAGCAAAGTAAGGTGGAAAAGTGCCGAGATGGCTGATTTCCCATCCAGCTTGTGCGAGACTTACAGGCGAGAGGGGAGGAACCTCCCCATCACCCACCCCGTGCTAACAAGCATCACCACAGCGACAGAGGAGCCGTTTGTATCGGTTCCAAACTGTTTGCCACTGAGACTTGTGAGTAGAAATGTTTTGCAGGTGCCACCGAGGCTGGCTTTGAACGGGCTCCAAGGGGAAGGAAGCTGCAGCGAGGGATGGGAGAGCCCCTTCCACCCGCCAGGGCAGGCAGGAGGCAGCGGTGAGGGTCTTTCTCACGGTTTAGTTGCCTGTCTGGGACGAGCAGCTGTGGCTCTCAGCTGGACTGGTGGCATGTTGGAGTGCCCACCGTGGGGATTGCACAGGGAGAAGCCCTGGGGGAGCTCAGGCAGACGGGCAGAGGAGAGGCAGAGCCCTCTGCATGTGCCTGCAAGTGCCCATGTTTCAGTGCAGTGTGGTTCTGTGTAAGTATGTGCTGCCCATGAGAAGCGTTGACAGGTGTACTAAATATCCACAGTCCAAAGACCAGCTCAGGATGGAGCAAAATAGCAAAGTAAGGAGGGTGGAAGGGAAGGAAAGCAGGCAAAGGTGAGGAAAAAGGCAAACATGTTGCCTCCATCTCCCCCCAGCCACAGCCAGTCCTGTCCCCTATTCCTTCTTTTGTGGCCCTGCTCCCCCCAGGTGGCTCAGCTGCCCACAGGGACACTTGATGTTACTGACAGTGGTGGCAAAACTGCAGGGATCAATCCCCAGCCAAAGCCCACACTGACCAGAGCATCTGGCAGGAAGGGTTGGAGCTGGGGCATCAACTTATCCAGGCTGGTTAGACTCTGTAACAGGGATACAGAGTTTTCAGCTCAGAAAGTGGTAAATTAGAACTGAATGTTTGATGTCAATGCTTGTGCAGTGACCTTTGGCTTCCAAGCGTGGAGATAACTGCAGACAACCAAGGACTTGTTGCTGCTCCTGCAGCAGGTGCAGGATATTCAGTGCTTCAAAGAGTTCAAGTATTCTTGGTGTCCCGTGAATGCCTTCTTCCTCCTCCCATTACATTCTCTGCCTGCCCTGGGCAGCATTTGTTGCTTCAGTACTTTGGATTTCAGGCCATGCTGGAGGGATTCTTCCCAAACCAGCACCTTGGTGGTTGGCTGCCCTCCTCCCACCCACCCAATCCCTCATCAGCTTTTGAACTCACTGGCCAAATTCAACACCATTTAATAATAGCAGCAATCAGTTCAAGAGATTAAAATCCCAAAAATTATGTGAAAAGAACCAGGGCAGGGGAGGGAAACCCTTTCAAGCACCCAGGACTGGTGCAGGCAGGGGGGAAGGGGGTCACAACCTCTAAGAGACATCCAAGACTCCACAGCCACCTGCACCCCAAGGACAGGGCAGGCGAGGGAGGGCCGGGCTGCGACCGCCCAGTGGAAGCTGCAATGCTGCTTTTTTAGCTGGGGCCAGGGTGAGACAGGTTGGGGTTTGTTGGCTGGTTCCTGGTGGCCTCTCCCCGGCGCTGGCTCTGTGCCGGCATGGCCGGCTGCCCACGGCTGCTGCAGAGCAGCGGCTCCCGCTCGCCTCCACTTCCCTCTTGGCTGCACTCACCACGAGCTGCCTGACCCACTCCTCCCATGCAGCAGGGCCTCTGGGAGGACAGGGCTTTTCCTTGGCTGGGAAGACAGAAAACTCTGAAATCTGCTTTTATTTTCAGCCCAAACTCCCAAGTCCTGAGCTGCAGCAGGACCCGGCTTTGCACTGCTCCGGCTCTCCCGGCTTGCTGGGATGGTGCCCAGGAGAGGGGGACACAGCTTGGACAGGGAAAAGGTCGATGCCTGTCCTGTGCTGACTCTTCCAGCTCTGGTGGGCACAGGGCAGGGAAAGGTGACTGGCTGAGGAACTGTGGATAAGTGGTGTATAAGATGGAGAAGCCTCGTGTGAATTAACTCTGCTCCTGTGATTATTCCAGTCCCAGCAAGCAGGTTTCTCACTGAAAAGCAATCTAATTCCAGCTGTAAGCAAAGCCAGTTACAGTGCAGGGACTAAAACCAAATTAAATCTTGTGTATGGCTCAACAAGGGATGGGTTATTGAGAGGAAGAGAGGAGAAATCAATGTGAGCCTGACAGGAGCCCTGTGCAGGCAAGGGGGGAGGAAGGGCAGGCAGGGATGGGGATGGACACACAGTGCCACTTCCAGCATGTGGGAACGACTGTGGTCGAGGAACAGGAGGAAAGTGCCTGGATAAAATTGGGCTGGTGTTAGGGATCCACTACAGGGGGCATGGAAACAAGAGGGAAGATGATCATGACAATATGAGGGCTCAGAGGCAAAAAGCAGCCAGAAAATTCCACCTGGAGAGCAGGGGTGTGAGCAGCCCTGGGAGGCTGGAGGAGCCGTGCCCAGCCGTGGTGTGTGGCACTGGAGGAGCAGTGTGTGCTGTCAGAGTGTGGCATTGCCTCTGTCCCTGAGCAGCACCAGGATTTTGGCAGCAGCTACCAGTGCCCACAGGGTGATGAGACACTTGCAAGTTCATTTCTAGTTGGTGTTCACAGTCAAGGGAAGAGGAAAACGCTTTGCCCTGAGAGCAGAGCATGAGCTGGGGCAGTTTCTCGTGCTGCAGCCTCGGCTGGTGGGTTCAGAGAGGTCTCTGTGATCCCCTCCTGGGACACACTCCATGTGCTCCTGGGCCCCCATCCAAACCCACCCCTTCCTTCACACCTCAGCTTCCCACCACAAAAGACCCCCTCACCACAGTCTCCCAGAACTTGGGGGAAAAGCAGAAAGGGACAGAGCAAAGGACATGGGGTCAAGGGGAAGGAGTTCTCTGCCTTCTCTTCTCCCAGAAGCCAGATGGACTGGGGTGGTCACGAGTTTGGTGAATCCAGGGAGTCACTGCTTCTTCCCTGGGAGCTGGTGCAATGGGCTGGTGCTTCAGGGCCTCCTCTGCATCTCCTCCTCCCACAGCCTCAGCCAGGTCCATTTCTCCGTTCATGGCTGACAGTTTATTTTTACTCTCTTTCTTCTTGGTATCTTTTTCTCTTCTTTTCCCTTCCCTCTTCCGTCCTGTCCCTATCGATCCACGGAGTAACTGGAGACGCAGAAGAGCAAAGACAGGAATAGACACGAGCGAGCCCTTGGCCCGTGTGCCGTGTGTGTGCCAGGCAGGGCTGGGAAGGGAAGCGGAAAGGCTTTTCCCCACAGATCTCTATCCATTGCTTCGTTTTTCCCCTCGGTGCAGCAATGAGCTCGGTCATCTCCTCAGGAACGGGTGAATGAGCTTTCCCCCGGCTGCTGGGACCGGCGCGATGAAAGCCGCTGCTTCCCTTCCCATTAACACGCCGAGTCTCTTTGGAGTAATTTTTTCCCCTCCATAACGTCAGTCACCGCCGTGCTCAGCAGGCCGAGCTCCATCACGGAGACATTAATAAGCTGTAATTGAAGTTAATGTGCCATGGCCGGGACATGTGGATCCAGTTAGGAGAAATCACATTGAGCAGAAGCGAATCAATTTGAGGCTGATTTATATTAGGATTTCGCTCCTTTGTCTTCCCCTGCCTCAGTGCATGCACTGCCTGTCTGTCTGTCCATCCTGCTGGTGATGAGCAGTCCCTGGAGGAAGGCAGGAGGAGGGAGTGTTCCTCATCCCTGAGCAGCTCCATGGAACAGTGGGCTGTGCTCAGGCCCAGGAGGGACCAACAAGATGAGGCTTCCAGTTTTGTAACAGCATTTCCTTTCCTTGCTCTTCTGATGGTTTCCTTGGCTGCTGCTCTGATTACACAAAAGAATTGAAGGGAAAGGCCCTTTGTGCTCCCCTGCTTCTTTCCCTGCTTTCCCCTTGTGTGCTCTTGGTGCCTTGCTCAGATGCTCTTTGGGAGAGTTTGTGCCAGTGGAGCAGACCAACTTTGCCCAGTCTCCAACAGCCAGGATCAGGCACTCCAGACCTGGAGGATCAAGGCCATCCCCAGAAGTACTTCCTGCAACAAATGAAGCTGGTTGATTGTCAGCAGTACCCACATGCAACATGTATTTTTCTGCATTCATGATCAGTTTTGAGACCTGGGGATGCTTGATGCTGCACTGCTGTTAAAGATCAAGCAGTTCCTGCTTGGCCTGGTCACTGCCTCCTCCTCTGCCCTCCTGGCCAGCACATTGAAGCAGCTCAGTGCACTTCCCCTGCAGTTGTAGGTCAGCTCAAACCAGGGGTGTCAGAGCAAAGTGCGTCCTGGCAGCCCCTGAGCTGCTTTGCCCTGCTTGGACATTCCTCTTTATGGCTCTGTTGAAGCTGTTGGAGACCCTCCAGCTGATCTTGGCCTCTCCAGCAAAGCTGTCTCTAAAAGGGAGAAAAGAAGCAGGTTTGGTCCATGGAACAGTCTCT